TAATTCAACAATCTTGAGTTTGCTATAAGATTTTATAAAGGTCTCATACTATATAAAATTTGTTTTTTTAAAACCAAGCTTTGTTTACCGTTTCTTGTTTTCTTAAACTTTCCGCATTACGAAGGCATTTGAAAATATTATATTTGATGGCCATTTTTTACTCAATACCATAAAAGACATTTTTTAATTATAAACACAAAAAACTCTACAGATTACGATAAATTACGCGAGAATCAAGAATTGATACTACCTATTTGTTGAGTAAACTAACTTATATAGAAATGTTCTAAATACTATTAAATTTATGTTAATATGTTTATTATATATAAGCAATTTGCATCCTATGTACAACACAACCTAATATAAACGTTTGAATCTCTGGTTGTTTCAAGCTTTTTATCTTTTTTTACTTGAAATGAGATACAATCTGAGCAAAACAGCTACGAATACAAGGTGTTTGACACCTTGAGTTTATGCACCCCCTTAAAATATGCTATATTGCTCTATACATAAAAGATAAGCATTACTACAAAATTTTGAAAAGTTTTATTATAATGGATTGTATGCGCTCCTCGTCTATATAGTACCTGCCTCCTCACACCTCCAGTTTAAATATGTTGTCTACGGCTATGTTGTAAGTAATAAAAGTCTACCCATGTTATTAATGTTTGGCATATATAACTTGTTAAGTTAATGATTCTTACTCTTAAATTATAAAAAAGGAAGATTAATCTCCACAAAACCATAAAGAATTCCATTTCTAGACTAAGGGATTTTGTCCGTTCTCTTTTTATTATAACACTGTCTTATTGTGAATGTTGTTATTTGATCACCAGTGTGTTAAACACCTAGATTTTGGTTAAAGATGTTCAAAAATAACTTTAAAAAAATCTTAGTTTTTAACTAGTGTAAAATTTAAAAATGGGCATTGTAATATTTGAATCTGTCAATTCTGAATTCTTTGAGCTTATTAACACCTTTTAAATCGAATTTTTGTCTCCAGACTTTCTCTTACCAGGTTGATCCATGGTAATGTAATTACTTGATCACGTATAATTTTTTTATTCAGAAACTTTCGAAGACTTTTTCACCAAAAATTTGACTATCATTTTTGTTAATTATTCAAAACGTTGTTATACTTTAAAAAACCAAGCCTGGTTTTTATCTCTGCTTTTTAAACATAAAAAATAACTTATTTTTAAATAAGTTATTTTTATGCTGATACAAACCTTTTATTACGCAAAATTTTTAAGACAGTTAATTTTAATGAATAACAAAACCTACACGCTTAAAAAAATGTTTTGCTATTCCTGGAGCAAACAATGCACCAGCGGAATTTTTTTTGTCCAAACAAAAAATTAATTGTAAAAAAAAAAAAAGATTCAGGATCTAAAAATAGAAAAAAAAAAGTGCGTTATGATTTTTTTTTTAATTATTACAATTCATTAAAAAATAAATTTGTTAAAAAAGTTTTATCTCTGTCTGACTGGCCTCTCTAAACGTCCTGCCTCGTAGCGGCTGCCTAGGCTAGACATGTGTAAAGACGGGCCTGAACCTTGAGCTTAACTTAAACTTAAAGCAATAGTATAACTTAACCTTAAATCGATATAATAACTTACCTTAAACCTACAAAACTACTATATACACCTACACCTTTATTTATTCAAAATAAATAAAAAGCATTAAGAAAGATGTCATCTTATTGATATTTTTATAACACGTTATATTTATTAAAACTAACGGAAATACATTACTTTTATATTTTAAATATGGTGTTTTCTTCATAAAAGTTATATAAAAATATCTGAAATGATATAAAAAAGTAAAATAAAAAAAGACATTATTATTATAGTTTTTTTTTTTAAACATCTTCACTTCAAGGCTGCAAGCAACTACTATTAGAGTTGGAAGTTACTAGAAGAGAAAAGATGTTTAGTTAATAAAGTAAGATAAAGAACACCAGAAAACCTGAAAGATTGGGAATTAAATTAATCAGGAAAACACGATGAAGACATCAAATTCCAAAGAACTAATGTTTGAGGAAAAAAACTAGACAAATAAGAATTTTTGGAGCACTTAAGAACAATCACAGTAAAAGGATGACAATTAAAGGACTAGTAACACGAGAATGAATTTTATTAGAAGGCACAAGAGACGCTAGCTCTTTAAAGCAGCGCCTATTATAGTATTTATAACAAAGAGAAAGTGAAATAACATTACAACGATGTAACAAAGGTTTAATATTGAATGTAAGATCAGGTCAATAGTCTTAAAGATCTAACCTGATACATCATCAAATAAGAGTTTTTTGAAAAGATCAGCATGCAAAACTTATAAATATTAAGAGTGAAAGCCTAAACCTCTCCATATCTTTCTAATGCACAATAAAACCTATTGGCTATAATCGTTAACAAATCAGCAGTAAAACGAGAAGATCGAATTCCATATTAATGATCAGAGTGTAAGTTATTTGATTCAAGATATAAAGACTCAAAAACCGCGCTTATTATAGGTAGAAGATTATTTGGACGATAGTTAGACAAATCAAATCGCTCTCCAGAAGTTTTAAAAACAGGGAAAACAGATGCCGCTTTCCAGCAGACTGGAAAACAAGAATCTGATAAACACTTGCTAAATAATTTTGAAAGTATAGACTTTAGCCCCGTAAAACACTTCTGCAAGACTATAACAGGTATGTTGTCACGGCCACAATCTGTAGAAAAGTCTAATCAGAAAATCACTTTAGATACAAAAGCTAGAGTGATACGAATGTTAATCAATAGATCAACCAGTTTGCAGGCTATTTTAAGTAGGATAAGATTAGTGGAATCAAGAAATGAAATTGATTCAAATTGCAAACAGTTCAGCTTTGTCTTTAGGTGAAGTAACAAAGTTTGAATCTTGCGATAGCGGAGGATTAACAGATTTGCCCTTATTATTGATACTGTTAAAGATTCGCCAGAAGTGTCTGGAGTTTAATTTTTTGATTTAAATTAGAAATTTTATGACCTGAGAATGGCGAGCTTTAGCATTAGACTAAATGGTTTCTAGCAATGGTAAACAGACGTCTGTTTTCTGGATAATTTTTTTGATGATAGATATGTAAGTAATTTTCGATTGAAAGTTATAGCAGCAAAATGAGGGGAAAACCATGGAGAAGAGTGAGGCTTGACTTGAATCATCAAGAGAGAAAAAAGATTCCATGTAGGTCTGAATCAAAAAATTTACATAAGAAGCTCAATTTTCAGAAGGAGGAAGAAATGTTTCTACCCAAGGGCCATCAAGCAAAAAAAATTACAAAATGAGTCCCAGTCAGCTTTTAGGTAGTTACAAGAGGTACGATGATATAAAATTTTTATCTCATTCTTCTAATAATTAAAAAGAATGAGATAAAGGTTTTAGATAGATCAAACCGCGATCAGAAGCACCTAAGAGGTTAGAGATTAGGAAATGGAACAAAGGAAAAGGTTATAGAGTGAAGTGATGCAAAATGAAAGCACATAAAAAAATAGCCTGCGTATTCAAACCTAGTTCCCGACAAATGGATTATTTTTAAAAATGCAAATGCCCAGGCCAAACATGTGACTATTGGAGTCTTTACGAATTAAAGGGAGATAACCATCAATATTTAGATAACAAAATAAGACAGCTGAACTAAGGCGTTTTTCTAATTTCGGCAACTCTCCCCGAGATCTGGTGAACTTTGCAAGAGATAACACCCTTTAGAAGAAAAATTACTTCAAAGACCAAGAATATTAGTGAATGGTAGATTTAGAGAACTTGGTGATGCGATGGTTTTTTGTGTTTTATAATTTTGATAATTTAGTCATTTTTAAAAAATGGTTAAAGAACTTGACTGAAAGTACAGGTAGTACTCAGCACACTATCTAATATCCAAGCATTTACCTTTTTACTTTTAGTAAACCTTTTACTTTAGTAAACCTTTAGTAAAGGGCTCCAAATGTGGCCTCAACATTGCACACTAAAAGTACAAACAGAGGCACTATCCGTTTGCAATATGGCACAGTTAGTACTCTGTTATTTTACAGCTGTTAATCAAGTCAGACTCTCTGAGAGCTACCACAGAGGTCGGGAAATCTGACTATGAACCGGCCTCAGAACCTTAAAAATGAGTTTTAGAGCTGTATCCTCATTAGGAGATAATAGAGTGTGTTATTTTGTCATAAAAACAGAGACACAAGCAAAACCCATGCAATAAGTCAAGAAGATCTAGCATTCAATATCTTAAACTGGAAACAGTATATTATAAATACATCTACGCCAGTCTAAAATATGAAAAAGAGGTGCGAAGCTGGTCAGCAGATGGAATCTTTTTTCCCTCTTAAGTATTTCAAAGAAAGCCTTCTACAAGTTAGTAGGCATACACATTTCACATTTGCCCAAGATAAGTATTTTGATCGAGACACCATCTTTAGCCTTAACTAAACCATGAGCCCCAAAGCAGGGGGTGATTTGTCTCGCTTGTTCCACTTGCCCATTCCATAATTTCAGTATCTGCAAAATTAAAATCATTAAAAATCTAATTGTACAATCTTGGGAATATCCTTTTCTTCTGAAAAGTAATCAGAAGGAATGTTGCATTGAATTTCATCACTTGACGAAAAAAAAATGTTTAAATGAGTTTTGTATAACTAAGACGGGAATTTCATTTCATGCCTACACCACGAATGAAAAAACATCTTTTAAATTTATATTTTTCAATGCTGAAACTATTCCATCTTTTGCGCCTATTGCTGCAAGACATACAAGTTGATGTTTAGCTTTAAACAAATAAGTTGCTTATACAGAACAGTTGAACAAAAAAAATTGCTTGTACAGAGGTTTCTTATAAAGAATGTTGGTTATAGAGAGGTTGCTTGAATAGAGTGTTCACTGTATTAGTTTGTGCTATGATAATGTCAAACATCACATTAGTAACTTTTATCTATAAGGTTTATACGTACACGGCTACATCCATTTATAAAAGTCATACATACATCAATTGTTATATCCATTTATTTTATTTTTACGTATACCATTACACCCGATTACATGTTAAATAATGATAGTAATCAAACAACGAACCAAAATACAAAATTCTAAAATATAATAATCATAAATGTGTATTTAAGATTAAAAGTAAGCTAACAGAAATTAGAAAAGTATTACTTTTAATTAACATTTTTTGTCTAAAATTTAAACGTTTAGCAAACCTTTACTAATCGCTTTATTTTCAAATTATTTACAATTTATCTAGTATCTATTTTTTCAATCAATATAGTTACATAAATTGAAAAAAAAAAAAACATTAGCAAAATTAAAACAGTAAATTTTTACTCCTTGGAACTATTTCAACTTTAAAGTCATAAGGAGTACAAGTGATGCCAAAACTACCATCTAAACGCGGTAATTCCTCTGATATCGGTTTTACAAATCGGAAATCATTTATTAATCGGGATATAAAAATAAACAACTCAGTTTTTGCTAATGTTTCTCCAATACAGCTACGAGGTCCACTAGAGAATGGTAAATACGCATTTCCTAGTTTAGAGTTAAATTCGCCAGAACTTTCCAACCAACGTTCAGGGTAAAAACTCATTGCATTTTTCCAGTAGCTTTCGTCATGGTGTATACTCCATAGATTGGTTATTATAAGAGCGCCTTTAGGGATAGATTTTCCACAAATGCTACTTTTCTCCATGGCTTTATGATGTAAACCAAAAGGTGCGACCGATGACAACCTAAGTGTTTCATAAATTGCAGCTTGCATTAAATGTAGTGACGGGCGATCTTTTAAGCAAGGGTAACGGCTACCTGATGTTACTTTTAAAATTTCATCATAAAGTTTATCTTGATACTCCGGCCAATGTAAAATATAAACAATGAACCAAAGAATCGTATTTGATGAAGTCTCTGATCCTGCAAGTATAAAATTATTTAAGATAAATTCAATATTATCATCAGTAACTTTTTCATCCGGATCTTGTCCCGTCTCCGAGTTTGATGCTTTTATTAAAGCATCTGTTAGATCGCGTAAATTATTTTCGTCATACGATCTTTTGTGCTCTTGGACTTTTTTCTTTAAAAGCGGATCGCGAATTTTTATCATTTCATCTAAATTTCGTGAGGAAGCTGATGGAAAATAGCGTAACCATGGAATAGAAATAATGTAATTGTTTACACCGCGCTCTTTAAAGCATATGTTCGAATACTTTATAATATCCTGAAATTCAAGATCATCTTCTTTATAACGATGGTTAAAAAGTATTGAACAAATGATGTTGAGAACACATAAAGCTATAAAAAAAATATCGTTTTATTATTTACCCATTCTTAGACTGTTTATTATTTATATACCAAAAATTTTTAAACTCTAAAGCTCATTTTTTATTTATAAACTTTTAAAGATTTCTAAAGCTTTCTAAAGCTTTTAAAAAGCATTTAAAGCTTTTAAAGCTTTCTAAAGCTTTTAAAGCTTTCTAAAGCTTTTAAAGCTTTCTAAAACTTTCTAAAGCTAATTTTTTATTTATAAACTTTTAAAGCTTTCTAAAGCTTTTAAAAAGCTTTTAAAGCTTTTAAAGCTTTTAAAGCTTTCTAAAGCTTTTAAAGCTTTCTAAAACTTTTAAAGCTTTCTAAAGCTTTTAAAGCTTTCTAAAACTTTCTAAAGCTAATTTTTTATTTATAAACTTTTCCTGGTATCAGGAACCAATGGCAACTGTAGAAACATTAAATACAACGTCAGCGATTACGACATATAAATACTGACACAAATATTTTTCAGATATTTTAATATTTATTTTTTTAAATCAACCAAGGTTTATATTTCCCCTAAGTGTTTAATGCTAACCTAAATAACTTTAGAGTCATTAGACTTTAGTCATTTAGGTTAAAAAGTATTAAGGATTTCCTGGGAAAACTTTTAAACAATTAAAATGAATGTAAAACAACTTTATCTTTGTAATTTCATGTTCCACCTTATAATTAAATGGAAAACTTTGGTTTTGGTAGAGAAGTTTTGAAAATTTTTATTGAATATTTTAAAATTTTATTTTTGAACTAAATGATGAAATTTATACTTTATATTGAATGAAATGTTTTGGTTTAAAAGATGATAATAAAATAATTAAAAACATATACATTTTTTTTTCCATTTTTATAAAATATTCGTGACAAATCTTTTTTTTTGGAAAATATTTCGACTGGTAAATTTCTGAATTTAAATCCGAATTTAAATTAAAAAAAAAAATTTCGAATATAAAAAACTTTGAATTAAAATCTTTACTTCAAGAAACAAATATTTTCTTTTTCTGATTTAAAATAAACCAATTTTTGTTTTCACCATCTTCGTTCACCGATATCTTAATTAATTATGATATCGGTTTTTATTTAAGAATAAATCTTCATTAGCGATTTTTTCTTTTTTAGTCCAGATGGACATTTTTTGGTTCAGATGCATATTTAGGCTCTTTATTCACGTTTTCGATGCAGTCAGGTACTTATGAACGGAAATCACCACACATAACATCTTTAGTAAGAATAATAAGAATTTATTTTTATTAAAGATGTTTCTTAAGAGTAATTTAAAACAAGTTGTTTCAAAATCTAAAATTTTTCATTTACTTACTAGTTATTTCTTGCATTGAAAATGGTTTCCCATTTGTTTCTAAAAGCTTTTTATTTAACTGAAAACTTTCTTCTATAGCTTTACTTTCCATCCCTGCCAATCCATCAGCAAAGATTTTCAAAGATGATGTTGCTAGCTTCCGTAATATCTTAAATTTTTTACTTGGATCGCGTTGGATTAGACCGTGAATAGATCTATCCCAACCTAAAAAAAAAATTCTTTTTTTATCATAAAAAAAGTTTATTTAAAATTTCCAATTAAATTTTAATTTTAAAATTTAGTTGGAAATTTTATAATTAAAAAAAGAGACAAAAATAGACCAGGACCACTAGTTATTGAACTAGTCAATCCATTATACCAGAAACAAGTTTTAAGTGTTGCTAGAGATTTAAATAAAGTTGAGGCATATAAAAATAAAGTATTTATCAATCCAGATCTAACGTATAGACAAAGAGCTAGTCTTAAATTGCTACTTGGTGAAAGAAATAGTCTGAATAAAATAGAGGAAGGTAAAAGTTCGACATTTCGATTTGTTATCAGAAACGATATGCTGCAGAAAATTGAAATCAAAAAACACTAAAAAGATTAATGCACCATCAAGTTTAATATCAAAACTCAGCGAAATAACGTGCTTATAAATGAACGCAACTTCATTAAACAATAAGTTTGACGAACTAATTGAAGTGATTAACTCAAACTAAAATTGAAGTTAAAAACTCTAAGCTAATGTAGTTATGATTTGTGAAACTTGGTGGAACAATGAGTCAGTAACTAATATTAATGGATACACCTTATTTAGAAGAGACAGAGGCGTTGGTAGAGGTGGAGGAGTTTGTATATTTGTACAAAACAATATAAAAGCGTATGAAGTTTCATACGCTTTTATATTGTTTTGTACATATATACAAGCTCCTTTTATATTGTTTCAGAAAAATGTTTTAATGAACTTAATATAGAACAGATTTGGTGCGTTATTGAATTAGGAAGTGAAAAAGTATTATGTGGCAGTATGTACAGAACCGGAATTAGTAACATAAGTAACTGTATCAACATCACAAAGTCTATTAATTTTGCTCATTCAATGAATTTATTAAATAAATATGCTGGAATCCTTATTTGTGGGGATTTTAATTTCAGCACAATCAAGTGGACAGAAGATTACTATGGCACACCAGCTAGTGAGACTGATACACCAGCCAAAATTTTCTTAGAATGTTTAAACAATTGCTTCATGCATCAGAATGTGATTAAACCAACGTTTCAAAATAACATCTGGAATGAAACGAATGTACTGGATTTGATTATAGCTGAGAATAAAAATAGAGTTTATAAACTGGTACACCTTTTACCATTGGGAGGTATTATTCACGGTTATCACATTATTAAATTTAGAGTGTATTGACAACATTATACTTATAAAAGAAAAATTTAATTTTAATCGAGGAAAATTTGATAAATTAAATAATTATTTTAAAATCTTAAACTGGGACAATGAATTCAAAGGTTTAGAAATAAACAAGTGTTACGAAAAATGGTTAAGCCTATATGAAGAAGGATGTAAACTCTTTATTCCAATCATAAAACCGGGAAGCATTCAAATCAACACAAAACCTCTTAGGATTAATGGAGAATTGAAAGCGCTGTCAAAAGAAAAAAAAAACGTTTGGTTCGAATGTCGAAGGCAGAAATTCAGAGACAATTGTTTACTTGCAAAATACAAAGAGTTAAACAAGATTTAAAAAAAAAGTGAATCAAAGAATTAAAGATTTTGAATATGATCTTGCTTTAAATTCAAAGTTTAACCCCAAGAAAGTTTATTCATATATTAACAATAAAAGTAAAGTCAAAGACAATATAAGAGCAATCCAACTAAAAAATGGTAGCATCGAAACTGATTTAAAAGTAATTGCAAATACATTGAATGGGTATTTTGCATCAGTATTCAATAAACCACAAACTTTATCTGCTCCAATAATAGATATAGAAACACAAAAGTCTGTAAAATTCCAGATTTTAATGCCGCTGTTGTTGAAGAATACTTAAACAAACTGGACACTAATAAAGCAACTGGAATGGACAGAGTTCATCCAAAAGTTCTAAAAGAGTACAAATCTACTTTAGCCAAACCAATATCGTTATTGTTTAATAAACCATTTGAAACGGGTAAACTTCCAAAATTATGGTTGTGTGCAAATACCGTCCCACTGTTTAAAAATGGTGACAAGTTGAGCCCATGAAACTATAGACCTGTATCTTTAACATCTGTAGTTTGTAAAGTCATGGAAAAAATAATTAAAGATAAAATGATGAAACATTTAGTAGAAAATAAATTAATCAATAAAAGCCAACATGGATTTGTAAATAATAAAAGTTCAAAACTATTTGACTGGTGCCAGGGATTTTTAAAGAACAGACTTCAAAGAGTGGTGATAGGAAATAATAAATTAGAATGGGAAGAGGTCGTGATTAGAGTACCACAAGGATCAGTGCTAGGACCACTATTATTTGTAGTGTATATTAATGATATCTCCAACAAAATAAAATCAAGCTGTAAACTATTTGCTGACGACATGAAAATCCTTATAGCAATAAAAGACGATAATGATGTTATTGAACTTCAACAAGATATAGACTTATTAATGGAATGGTCGAATGAGTGGTTGATGAAATTCAACCAGCAAAAATGTAAGATTATGATAATAGGAAATAGCCAGCACAAAGTTTTAACGAATAATACAGCTTTAGCCTACACAAGCATAGAAAAGGATTTAGGAGTGTACATTTCAGATGATTTAGAATGGAAACACCATGTAAATAAAGCAGTAAATAAAGCAAATCAAAAGCTAGGTCAGATCAAACACACTTTTAAATATTTAGACGAAAAAACAATGAAACTCTTGTTTATAGCCTTAGTACGTCGACATTTGGAATACGCAGCTCCTATCTGGAATTCTTATCGTCAGTATGATAAAGATAAACTAGAATGTGTCCAACAAAGAGCTTCTAGAATTAAAATTATGAAAGGATACAGTTATGAAGAGAGGTTAAAGAAGTTGGATTTACTATCGTTAAAGAACAGAAGAAGAAGGGGTGATTTGATACAAATGTTCAAATATTTGAAAGGGTACGATATTATAAATTTTTGCACAAAACCCAAAATGCTAGATGACGGATATAAAACTAGAGGTCACAATAGTAAACTGAGAAGGCAATCTACAGGAAATATAAAACGACAACTTTTTCACAAGTAGAGTAGTAAACGACTGGAACAATCTTGAACAAGAAACAATAGACGCAGTCAGTATATATATATATATATAATATATATATATATATATATATATATATATATATATATATATATATATATATATATATATATATATATATATACATATATATGCTGTACACTTAAAGAGTAATGAGTCCAAACTACGTAGAGTTTGTAACTTTAACAGCTGTAACACACTAACATACAAACATAATAAAAGTTAGTATTTAAAATGTTCATCCAATTTTTTTCATATATATTATATATGTATATATATATATATATATATATATATATATGCATATGTATACATATATATATATATATATATATATATATATATATATATATATATATATATATATATATATATATATATATATATATATATATATAATTTATTTTTTGACGAGATTAAATAAAAAATAACTACATAATTTTTAGTACTAATTTTCACATTGCTTTTTTCGTTAAAAAATATACTCTTTATAAATATCGTGACGTTCAAAAATAATTATAAAATGTTAATATTTGCAAGCGTGGTTTGGTTTTTAATCTTGGGCTCGTGGTTGTCAAGCAAAAACTTGTTTTCATGACGGCACTTAAATATTTTTTCTGTTTTTTTATTTAATAATTCTTGCGTATGATATTATGCAAAGTTTTTCATGAAGGCAAAGCAAGCATTTTTTTGTTACGTTGCTGTAGGCGGGGACTTGTTTAATTATTGACCAAATTAATTTGGGTGTTATTTTTATGTTTTCTTTTATCTGCCAAATATACTTTGAAAGGGTGGTTGAATTTTTCGTTTTTTTGTTTTTGAATGAGTGTTTGTGTTTAGCCCATCTTTTCTTCCATTCACCTATATATATATATATATATATATATATATATATATATATATATATATATATATATATATATATATATATATATATATATATATATATATATATATATATATATATATATATACATTTCTTCTTTGTTTTTTCTTAACTTGTTAATAGCGTACCGTTTTGGTGACGTCAAATTGTTTGTTTGTCCGAATATTAATCCCACAACCACTAGCATTTTCAAGAAATTCTTTTGTTTCTGTGTAATAATTGTCCGAATATCAATCCCAAAATGCCTTACGTTTCTGAAAAAAGTTCTATTTTTAGGCCCATAACGGTGCGCTATTTGTTAGTAGCGCAAATATCAAACGTAATTTTTATGCAAATTTTTTACGCAATCGTCACACGTTAAGTGGTTTTTATGAAGTTAATTAATTCTTTTATTTTACGATACCTTTATAGACTTAAATATTAAAACATGATAAAAACTTGATCAAAATGGGTTACCCGCTTACGTTAAATGGCTTATGCTAAATTAACAGTAAATAAGCGCATTTGTAAATGGTGCACCAGTTTACGCTTTAAAACAAGGCCTCCCTATCCCTTCCAATTCTCACGCAACCAAATAAAAGCTAAACTAAAGAATAGTAATTACAAGAAAAACAAGGAACAAACTAAATTTTAATTAAAGTATATTTACAGATAAAGATTATTTGTTCTCTTATACGACATAATACCCGGATCGAATAGCCTAGAAATATCTCATACCAAAATTGGTTAGTATGTCTTAACTTCCATAACTGGTCAACTGCTTTGCACAACTCAGCCCAATGATGAAGATCCGATACGAGCAACTCCAACTGCTAATAATACTTATATTTAAACACAAGCAAGTTCCTTATCTCATAATGTTGATCGTATCATAAGCATGCCATCGAATCTTTCCAGAAACATTTTTTTTCCGTTCTTTTGATATTCAAAAACATTTTAGACTAAAAAAGACTCTTAAAAACCGCTTTTTTTCAAGAAACATTGTCAGATGAATCAATGGAACTACAAATTCCAACCAATTAGAGTACATACAACTTTGATGATGATGGGTTTAATGGAACTAAAAATTCCAACCAATTAGATACAATCTTGATGATGGTACTTTTGATATGCTTGAAATAAGATTTTAAGGTTTTTGGGTGTGGAAAATAATCAGGGTGTAAACAAAAAAAAATTGTTTAAAAAGCTGAATTATGGTTATGAATTGGAGTTTTACAAAAGGAAAATTCCTTAAAACAGATTTATAAGAACTAATAAAGAATCTTCAAAAAGAGCATAATTTTTGGATTATCGATGCTTTTTTACTTAAAAAGGAAAATAGAAGGGCGCATTAAAAAAAAAAAAATTAAAGTAAAGATTCCAGTCACAATTGATTTATTATTTTTAATAAATTTTTTTAATATTTCCAGTAAATAGTTTATATAGGAATTTCAGTGGACCTATAATAGCATTTTAAGCGGTTCACTGTAGTTTTGCTCATCAGTTACAAAGTGGACCATGAGTGCCAGCCGCCAAAAAAGGCTAGCCAATGACTAACCACTATACAATATGTTAAAAAGTGTACTATTGGCCCCTTACAGCGGATGCTACTAATAATCCACTAAAAAACCGATTTGCAAAAACTCTAAAGAGCCGTGCAAAATGCCTATATAGGTTCACTGCAAATCTGCTACAATAATAAATAGGCAAAAATTTTACAAAGCTTGTTGGGTCATTTTTTTTACTAAGAAAAAAAAAATGTATATCCATTTATATATATATATATATATATATATATATATATATATATATATATATATATATATATATATATATATATATATATATATATATAAAATTATTGATAACCTAATGGTAGTAAACAATAATTTTTATAATTTGTGCCAACTTACCCCAGAATTATTTCTACGGAAAAGTTTCCGCCAACGTATCCACCCCGGGTCCAAACTGTGATACAAAAATAAATTCTGTATTAAAGTATCGGACCATCAAGTAAAGAATCATGACCTCACAACAATCAAAAAGAGTAGAAAAGATGATTTTGATCAGGTTTTCAAGTTTATGCTTGAATTTAACAAAATAAACCAACTCCAAGTATCTTTTTAAACTTTTAAGTGGCCCATTAACCTCAAAATACAATATCAACGACTCGTGCACCAACGAGAACTAGGCTGCATACAAAGAGAGAAATTCTTTACAAACCCAGTTGTATTGCAGTAGATCACCTTTAATGCAGAATTTTTGATTTGTTTATTTTATCAAAAAATCATTAACCCCTTCCTAAAGCATGACATAATTTATGGATGACCCCCTAAAGAGTTTATTTTTTTAGTTTAATTCAAGACTAAGAAAAAATAAGTTAAGTTTACTTAATAAAAACTCTACTTTACTATTTTAAATACTTTTCTGTTAATAAAATAAATTAAAATTAAAACAAATCAATTTTGGTTTTGCAGAACTTTTATTTTATAATTATAATCACAAAAAGTTGAAAAACTATTTTTTTTTTTTGTTTTATTCAGAGTAGTTTCACTTACTTGGTCCTTTTGGACGACCAGCAAATTGCCACCCTTTTTTAACTAGTACTTCTTGAATTCCTTCTAAGCTGTTGACAATTACAAATCTGACTGAACCAATGCTAAAACTGAAAACATCGCCATATATTTTTCCCAAGTTGACCAACTCTTTATATGGTTCAGCTTTTCTTATCAAATAACCATTTCCAATAAATGGTAGTGGTATCGGTCCTCGTGGATAATACAAACAGTCGATTAAATGTTTAATGTAAACCCATATAATCCATATCAAAGGTGGAATAAGGACTGCGCCAATAACTTCAAGAAACATTTTAAAATTATGTCTAAAAATTATTATATATATATATATATATATATATATATATATATATATATATATATATATATATATATATATATATATATATATATATATATATATATATATATATATATATATATATATATATATATATATATATATATATATACTTGGAGCATATGCAAAGCAGTTAGTGACCAAAAATAATACTCCATGTTAAGTTATCTTTTAATTCAACAATAAAAAACAAGAAGAAAATGTGTGTTAACAATAAAAAACAAAACAAAAAAAAAACGATGGTATTATGAAAATTCCGTAATACGGAATAAAATAATAAAAAATAAAGAAAAAAAAAATATTTGTATAAAAAACTATGAACATGGAGTCAAAGCAATAAACTTCTTATAACTAAACAAGAAAATAAACTTAACTCAACCATTAGATTATTACAGGCATCTAAATCACCACAATTATCCAAATACAAAAAATTTTAAAAAGTTTAATATTAAAATTTCAAATCCAAACGGTTTTCTGCGACAAGACATCACGGTCTTCTTTGAGTTTCCGTATTCTTTATTCCTTATTTTTATTGATATATTCATTTGTATATATATATTTTTAAATTTTATATATTGTATAAATAAATAAAATAAAAAATTTATAGTAACAAAAAATTTATAGACACCCCAGTAAAACCTGTAAAAGTTATGTTTAAAATTAAAATTAATTTTATAAAAGCAAAACTTTTTCTTTTTTTTTATCGATGTTTCACCGTATTTATAAAATTTCAAGTTTCATAAACTAAAGGTAAATATTAACAAGTTTCGTGAAAGAATGGAATTTATGATTTAAATAGTACGATTATAGTAAGATTATAAATTGTATGATTAAAATAGCATAATGCAATATATGGTTAAAATATATAATATATATATATATATATATATATATATATATATATATATATATATATATATATATATATATATATATATATATATATATATATATATTATAGGTTATAAAAATATATTTTGTAGCCACAACTTTTTAATATAAACATAAAAAATACTTATTGGCTTTAGTACATATATCGACTATTTTATAGCCTGCTGTTACAAAGGAGTGCTAATACATCCATTATCTTATAGCCCGCTGGTGCAAGGAAGTGCTGCTATATTGACATGCATGAGTTGTTGTCTCTATGCCAAATCGAGGATTTGGCATAGAGCAGCAATCTTTTTTCTTTTATTATTTCAATAAAAATTTCTAATGTTTAAACACTCTTTACTAACGAGTATGCAACATGCAAAAAAAAATGTATATATATTTTAGAGTGCTAAAGTATAACTTTACCTAAAATTACATTGTATTTGTTAAGAATTGTATATTTTTTTTACCTAGGTTTACCCATAGTTTTTCATTGCCCTGTGGGGCAATGACTTTTCGATTCAATTTACACAGTCTGTGTCATATGTCTTAAATAAACAAAGTAAAAAATAAATTCTGGCATTCCAGACTGAAACAATAAATCCGGCCGGAGCCGAAATAACCTAAAAGTCACAAATTCCGGCCGGAACGGAGTTCTGGTACATCCCTAATAAAAAGCCGCTTTTCATCTTGAGCGTCTTAAAACGTTTCATCTTAAGCAACTTCACCAAGCACTATCATAATTTAAACAGCATGACAACAGCTTTAGTATTATCTCATGTAACCCATGGAATTAGCAGTAGATAAGCATAAAATATTGAGAATGTAATATATTTTTGATGATCTTGTTCTAACGTAATTACAAAATATTAAATAATAAAAAATTATAACGGGGATTGTAAATTTTTTTAACGATATGAAATAAAAAATTAGATAATAAGGAATATTTTGCTTTTTTGTATGGTGCAATAAAGTTTCCTGTTTTTCTTGTGTTATATTTATTAACGTTATTTAAAAAAATTTTATTTATAAAATGATATTGTACTGATCTAAATTAAATTTTAGCATAAACAATATAGCTAATACTTCTACATCAACAACAACTCATGCATGTGATCGTAAAAAACTTTAGATATAAAATAAGTCATATGATTGATGAGTTTGGTCTCAATATCTTTTAGGTAAAATACGGTACTTGCAAAAAAAGTTTTTTTTTTTTTTTTAAAGTTTAGTTGAAAAAAAATTGTTTCTTAATATTATGTAAATGCTTTTTTTATATATAAAAAAATAGGTAACAAAAAAATAAAAATAATATTTTCTTAACGTTTATTCTGCTACTTTGAATATGTTTATTAATGAATTTTCCTCATGATAGTATATAATACTGATATTTCTTCTTTTTTGTAATTTTGAATTAAAAAAAGGAAGAAATTGAAAATAAAATTTGAATTTGAAAAAAAAACTTAGAAATATTGAGCTAGAAAATTTAATGAGGGCTCCACGTGTTATTAGATATAGCGTGATTGTGTGGCATAAATGTGGTCCATGTGTGGCTATAGCATTTATACAATTTAGTTAGCAATTACATATGGCTATAACACTTATATCACTTAAGTATTATAACTGCTATAAACGATCATAGCCCGCATCTACGCCATTCCATAAATCGAGTATTACTATCACATATGACGCGCATCGAATTTTCTTGTTGGGGAACATTTAAAAGTTTAAATAAAATAAAATTTATTTAAAGTCATAAAAAAATCTACAAAAAATTATTATTAACAGTAAAATTACACGTGTTCCAGATATAACTTGCACGTCTTCAATATTCAAAAGTTAATGTATCTTTAGATATAACTGTCTTTGATATATTATAAAAACTATACGGAAATCATATGCAGAAATCCTATATATCCAATATTTTTACGAATGCAAGCAAAAGTAATTTAATTTTTACTTTCTAAAACTATATTCTCATATCTTTCTTAAAATTTTTAACTTTCAAAATTTCAATTTTCATTTCTCAATTACATTTTGAATAAGTTTGCTGTCATTAATAACATTCAGAATAAGTTTTATCTCGTTTTAAATGTTGCAATATTTAACAAATGACAAAATTCTAAACCGAACCTTTGTTTACTTTGAAACAAAACAGAGCGTTTCTTAATAGTATGACGCGTTTCTTTACGGTATAACGCGTTTTTGCCTAGTATTACATTTTAACATTATTATACTTTTTTATTATTATTTCATATTTGTTTTCGTTAGTTATATCAATTTTACCTAATATATATTTATATTTCTCCTCCTCATAGGTCACAAATATTCTGCATTATTGCAAAATAATTGTGAATTCGAAGCGTTTGTAAAAAAAAAAACAGTTATCAATTAGCAATATGTTTTTCACGAGCAAAAATGTTACTTTGTAATTGTAGTTTTTAATACATTAAAAACTCCTCATCGCATTTTCGCTGAAATTCGAGTTCTGGTAGCCTTTTTACTAATCAACTTTGTTAATCATTTTTTGTAGCATCACAGCTTGATTGCACAATTCAAAGGTTCCTGTAAAGTATTAATAAATACTAAAAAGCTTTAAAAACTTATACTTTAAACTTGTAAATTTTCTGATTGTCTGTATATATTTATTTAGACAGAAAATAAAAGTTTATAGTTAAAACATGGATTAACTGTCATGGAGAGTTAACAAGCAAAATCAGAACAATATTTTGCCAAAAAAACAACAACCAAATTAGATACCATCTTTTTCACATGCTTTAGCTGATTTAGTTTGTTCAAGTAAAAATAGTGATACATCGTTATAAAACGATGATTATATGTTGAGTATCAACTTTTTTATATTATAACGATCAATACCTCTAATGAACTTCTTTAAATAGAAATAATTAAAAATGATACATCTGATCATTTTCCTATTTTTTTTCTCTGGAAATAACAAAATCGATATAATAAGACAAGAGAAAACTTGATCAAACGTTTGATTAAATTTATGACTTTATCTTAGGCTTGGTTTCTTAATTAGTTTTTAGAACTTCCACCCCAAGCACAAGTATGAAGCAGCCTTGTTCAAGAAATGTGTAAGTGTTATAGCTGCTGCTTAAGCGAAAGTAACGCTTTAGAGAAAAAGTTGTTGTAATATATTGTTTAAGTTCACTTGAGTTTCTATTGTTCAATAAACAAACTTAACTACTGAGTAATGAAAGAGTTGAGAAAATATTGAATACAAAATATTATCTTAGCTTTTCATTTCAAACTTTTAAAAACGTCTCCATGCTTACTCTGATTTAAGTTTAAGGAAAATCAAGATGGCCAGCTAAGTGTTTGAATTGCCCAACAACGCTGATTCATTGAACAACTAAGCGTTAAAGCTTTTCCTCTTTGTTTATTTAACAAATTTGATACATCAAATACTTATTATTATATATTAATAAGTTATATTCTACTGCGCGGTAAACTTGGCCAATAAGCGTTCAAAAATTCTAACTTACAGATTGATTAAGACTGGTTTTGGATGATCTTTGACTAATTGGCTGTCTACAGTGCTAAAACACGTTAACTGCTCCTCAAGGCAATAAAAAATGTTTATTTTTAGCACATCCTGGATTTTTTCCAATTAAATTGAATCGAGTAACTTTACAAATTAACAGCACAAAAAATTTGATCTTTTTAGAGTTATAAAAACAACGTTCAAAAAATATTTACATCTGATACATGCTACTGCATATAAATATGACGTGTAAACATTTTAGATTTTCGTGTAAACGTAAAAGGGTAAACGATGGAAACAAAGTTAATACGGATCTTGAATTTAAATTGAGAAAACTACTTTACATATGAGTTTTGAAAACGCAAAACTTTCCCTATATAAAAATTTGAACTATTTTTATGCAAAGTTTTAACAATTTAAAACCGGTTGTGAAATTAAAGTAAATAAACTTTTTTTGGTAAATAGTATCAAATACTACATCACTAGTCAAATACATCAACTTTGGTATCACTAGTCGCATACCACAAAACATCAACTTTAATATTACGGTAGACGTTTTTTTTTCTTTTAAGAAACTAAAGAAATGAGTTA